CCTTAAAAGTTGCCGGCATTCGGCCCAGTGAATTGAGTTATTTTTTCTCAGTTTACAGCTGCTGTGAAAGGCAGCAAAGCATCATTTCATCATATAGTTACATAAGCCTCAAAACCAGCCACAACTCAGCCCTGAGCAGAGTGACAGTCCACTATTGACCAACCAAAAAACTGAGGAGTGACCAAATATGGGGACAGTTAGGAATGGTTTCATTGATACCATCCATAACACAGTGGAAAAATGCATACCAGACTGCTTGGTGGAAACAGGGCTTTTGAGTCAGTTCAAGGTACTTTGTCACCATGTTTCTTTTCCTGTCACCAACCAAAGTAACTTTGCTTGACTAAACCTAGCCGTTTGTAACTTTATGTTAAGTACATAATGTCATTCATTAGGCATCATATGAACCGTTGTATGTGCACTTTCTTTAGATAGCATCAACTGTTGTATACAGATATGCTGAATGTCCAAGTAAAGACATGAACGAAAGAAACCAATGACAAAGTAACACGTCAAAGTTGCAGTATGTGAACATTAAAAATTGTAGTCGTCTTGAAGTCCTTCACAACCTTGTATTTTTGCTTCTTGTAGCCACCACTACTTGACACTGTAGATAGCAGACCCAATGAGCCTTTGACTCTGCAGTTATGGGATGTAATTCTTTTCTTGGGGTTCAGGGATTGATGAAAGAGCTGGTCACTGGCAGACAGAAAATCACAGCCCCTGATGCTGCGATCCAGGGCACCCAACATTACTCCACACCCAAGTAACTAACGAAGCATAGCCTCCTTTGGCACAGTGACTTAAGCTTTGAATTAAGGCCTTTAAAGAAAATCTTTGGATTACTGCACATTTGAGTTAGCTGCACAGATTTGTTGCCAAAAGCTTTGGTAATCGACAAATTCCTTATGGCCAGAGAAAGTCATCTGATTCATCACTAGGAGTTTTAAGAGATAAAATAATCAGTGAAAGGTCATTACCGTCGCTAAATCTAATCTGGCAATAAGACCTAACTGCTTCTCTCTGCGCTTCTGTTCACAATTAGAGGCAAACACATTCATTATGGGGCATTAGAACTTTAAGGGTGAAATAATTTTGGAGAAAATGATTTCCAAACTAAATTTTGACTTGTTTTCACAGCCACTGTAAATTCGGAACTGAGCTACAAGACCTCACAACAACATCTTCAGTAAAGGCACATACAGAAAAGGATAAAGGCAGACTTGCTTGGCCCTCACCCCAGCCAGGACAGCTGCATTGAGGACTAAACCAGACCTTCCTCCCCATGTCCCTTCCTCAGTGCCACACACAGAGACGCACATTGACGGGATTTTCTACCCTCGGCTCGGCTTTAGCTGGGTGCCGATCTTGCGTGTGGTCTGTAAGGCAATGCCCTTGTTATGAAGTGCTACGTGCTCGAGACGCTTACCTCAGGATTTACATGAGAGAACTGTACTCCTGACCCCCCCCCCCCCCCCCCCCCCACACACACACACACACACACACACACACACATTCACAATTGCCACCAAAGGCCAGGTGCTAGTGTCTCACTTAGGAACAAAGGCAGGCTTATTCTCACGTACAGTGTGTGATGGGAGTAATACATTTGTCACAGCAAGTACATGAAAGCCACACACATCCTGTCTAAATGGAGACTTGAGTTACGGCTATCAAGCTATCACGGAGAGGCTAGTGTTACCAGGGTTGAAAAAAGGGGCAGTAGCATCAGTTTTTGTGTTGATGTGTCACATGCGGAGTCACCTGGGGGCAGCTTTCATTGTCAAGCTGTGGAATGACTTTACCTTTTCCCTGAGACAGAACTGAGCAGATTGAAGAAAGAGTGAAGGTGCAGAAGCACATTTATCCACAGGAATGTGAACCCTCTGACCTAGCCTACAGTTCATCCACTGACTAGCCTCCCTAACCGTAAACTTGACCATCAGCACTACCATCCTTACCTCACAAGGCATGCAGTTACTTCACTTAAATTTTAAACAGTAGAGAAATCTGTTTTCCAGTGCTCGATACTGGGTCCATATTCCCACCTCAAATGGGAAACACATGCTGCTAAATCTTTTATAATAAAATCAAATAACACACTACTACACTTTTACTACTTACATAAAATACATTGCAACAGCTAATTTATGCAAATGCCACTGATTATACTAATAAAAATCAGACCTTCTGTGTGAGAAACCATGCTCGCACGACTTCAAATTCAGTAAACAAATAGTGCATGCCGTTCAGATCACATCAGGGATGAGCCTGTCACTAACGTCAACTGCAGGCAGCCTGCTGAAACAACCCAATATGCATGCCACTCAATTAATTGAGTTTTCAGGTCTGCCGGAACATGATCTCGTACTTAGGGGGCTGTTCTTCAAATTGGTTTCAGAGTTACCCTGCTTAATAAAGATCAAATAGAGATGTCTCGAGACACCTGTGTGCATGTGTGTGTGTGTCTGTGTGTGTGTGTCATGTAACAGAGACCCCTCGACTGCTCCCCAGAGACAGGCTTGACACAGAAGCTAAGAATAGCCGTGGCTGTATCACCACCAGACGGGG